TATGAAGGAAAAACAATTAGATTCTTTATCCACGTGCATTTTATGAAAGAAAACCACCTGGAATCCTTATCCACGTGCATGTTATGAAGGAAAACCACCTGAAATCCTTATCCACGTGCATTTTATGAAGGACAACCACCTGGAGTCCTTATCCACGTGCAGTTTATGAAGGAAAACCACCTGAAATCCTTATCCACGTGCATTCTATGCAGGAATACCACCTGGAATCCTTGTCCACGTGCATTTTATGAAAGAAAACCACCTGGAATCCTTATCCACGTGCATTTGAGGAAGGAAAACCACCTGGAATCCTTATCCACGTGCATTTTATGAAGGAACACCACCTGGAATCCTTATCCACGTGCATTTTATAAAGAAAAACCACCTGAAATCCTTATCCACGTGCATTTTATGAAGCAAAACCACCTGAAATCCTTATCCACGTGCATTTTATGAAAGAAAACCACCTGGAATCCTTATCCACGTGCATTTGGGGAAGGAAAACCACCTGGAATCCTTATCCACGTGCATTTGAGGAAGGAAAACCACCTGGAATCCTTATCCAAGTGCATTTCATGAAGGAAAACCACATGGAATCCTTATCCACGTGCATTGTATAGGAAAACCACCTGGAATCTTATCCACGTGCATGTTATGAAGGAAAACCACTTAAAATCCTTATCCACGTGCATTTCATGCAGGAAAACCACATGGAATCCTTATCCACGTGTATGTTATAGGAAAACCACCTGGAATCCTTATCCACGTGCATTTTATGAAGGAAGCCCACCTGGAATCCTTATCCACGTGCATTTTATGAAAAGAAACCACCTGGAATCTTTATCCACGTGCATGTTATAAAGGAAAACCACTTGGAATCCTTATCCACGTGCATTTTATGAAGGAAAACCGCCTGGAATCCTTATCCACGTGCATTTTATGAAGGAAACCCACCTGAAATCCTTATCCACGTGCATCTTATGAAGGAAAACCACCTAGAATCCTTATCCACGTGCATTTTATGAAGGAAAAACAATTGGATTCTTTATCCACGTGCATTTTATGAAGGAAAACCACCTGGAATCCTTATCCGCGTGCATTTCATGAAGCAAAACCACCTGGAATCCTTATTCATGTGCAGTTTATGAAGGAAGACCACCTGGAATCCTTATCCACGTGCATTTCATCAAGGAAAACCACCTGGAATCCGTATCCACGTGCAGTTTATGAAGGAGAAGAACCTGGATTCCTTATCCACGCGCAGTTTATGAAGGAAACCCACCTGAAATCCTTATGCACGTGCATTTTATGAAAGAAAAGCACCTGGAAGCCTTGCCCACGTGCATTTTATGAAGGAAAACCACCTGGAACCCTTATCCACGTATATTTTTACAGGAAAACCACCTGGCATCCGTATCCACGTGCATTTTATGAAGGACGACCACTTGGAGTCATTAGCCAGGTGCACGTGCATTTGAAGAAGGAAACCCACCTGGAATCCTTATCCACGTGCCTGCATGAAGGAAAGGCACCTGGAATCCTTATCCACGAGCATTTTATGAAGGAAAACCACCTGAAATCCTTATCTACGTGCATTTATAAAAGAAAACCCAAAGTTCCCTAGCACGTCGCAGTGGCTCCAGACGTTCCCACGCAATAGCAACTCGTAGCAAAGACCACGAAGCCATGGCGAAATCGGTACACACGACTGCAGAAGCAGCTAAGCGACGACGCTTCTGCGCCACCTCCATCACCTCCACTAACCCAGCCAGATCAATTACCAACAACAACGGAGACGGGTCCCAACTAGTGGCCACCGTCAGGCGCTGGGGAAGCACATTTGGCGTCTTCGACGACGGCTCCAGAACAGAAACACTCTGGCAACTGCAAGTAACCCACGGCGGGCGTCAATCCTTCGGCTACCATTTGCTGACAGTGTGCAGGGAAGCGCTGCAACAGCATCCAAACGAGAAAGTGCGTGATCCAATCCAACTAGAATCAGAGCTGCACATCAAGATTCTCAATGGAGCGCCGCCACACGCCGGACCAGCAGATCCAGATGGGGTCGGACTGGAAGCCTGGCAGCCAGTCATCTACGCCCCGACCCCGGCGGACGGCATGAACATCGTACAGTTCATCATGCGGCACAAAGTCAACGCCGGACACCTGCTGCAAATGCCACAGCTGATCGCCCTCTTCCCAAACGAAGAACAAAGCACGCCAGTCCCCACGGCCTGGGTGGTGCACAAAGAACACATCCTACAAGCACCAACATTCAGAGCCCTCCCACCGAGGGGACGGCGCCACGTCATGCTACAAGTAGAGATAGCAATGCCAAGCCAAGAAGAGCACGACATCGCCGCCAACCAAGAAGTATCAAGCAGCCAAGAAGAAGAGGACAATGCGGAGGGCATCGCTGTCGACAAAAGCTACAGCATCATGATCTTCGGTGGGATCTACGGCTTTCGCGAGCTCTTCGACGCAGCCAACATCCAAGGAGGACTCGTACCACAACCTGACGGAACCAAAGACGAATACGTACGACACCTAAAGATCACCTTGTCAGACGAAGGCCAGAGCAAGCTAACCGCAATCCTCGACCAAGTCCTGTTGCGAGTTCCAATCTACCTCATCGATCAGACAGAACAGCAGGACGATCCGCTAATAAGCTGGCTCCTGAGGCAACCATCAGTGTACCTCGGCGAAAAATCCACGCAGTCGACCTGAGCAAAACAGCAGCCTGGACAAAACCAGCCAGGTGAAGCCCGCAGGCCTGCGAAGAGGACCAAGTCCGAGAAAGAAATGCAATCGTCTCGTCAGTTTCACGCTGCACTAATCAAATTCGTGTAGCGGGCAGGACACACACGCCCGACAGGTCCCGCCCCTCGCAGCAAGGAATCGAAGAAGCAGCGAAAACGCCTTGCAGGAGCAGGACCCTCCGCATACGTCCCAACGCAAGATTCACCCACAGGCACGACACGTTTGAAGTCCCGCAGCAACTATCCGGCTCGAGTCTACGTCCTCAATGCCATGAACCGCCACCAGCAGGAAGACCACCCTCCAAGACACGAGCGGCGCTCCGCAGAGAAGCCACGATTCAGCCGCCGACGCATACGCAGACAGCCCCACCGCAGAAACGCAATCCAACAGCAGCTCGAGAACATCATCCGTCGACGCTGGCAAGACGAGCAGGAGTACACGAATGCCACATCGCTGCGAAGCCTCCTGCTGCACTTACTGAGGTCCTCAAAGCCACCACGCCACCAGAAGCAGCACCTCTGGCAAGACGCGTGCTGGTTTCTCACCCGAAAGTGCGAACCTCGGCCTAACTCGAGCAGAATACGCAGCAGAACAGCCCAACGGCATCACGAGACACGACCCTGCTTTCTGTCATGCCTAGGTGCGAAGCAGCTCAAAGGCAAAAGCAAGACAGACCTCAAGAAGACGCGTGGAACCAGCTGCTGAGAAAACTGCACCGCGCATAAAGCGAGCACAACAGAAAAAGGCACCAAGTCGAGCGCAGCTCCCATAGCAAAGAAACCGCAACACATGCTCTCGCGTGACAAAACATCTCACAAGCTCGCTTGGCTCAAGCACCACCAGCTGGACACTCCAAGCCCAGAACCCAAGCCCGCGTGAAGGTATCATGGCAGCAAGGATGGAGCCGACAAACAGCACTACGAAAAGGAAGCGCTTCACCGCCGGTGGAATCACACTCAAGGCACTCGTCAAGACGAGTGATGCAGCCGTGAACGGAGATGGCTCCGAGCTCGTTGCAACGATCAGACGCTGGGGCACCACCTTTGGAGTCTTCGAAGACGGTTCCAAAGCAGAAGAACTCTGGCAGATACAAATCGCACATGGAGGGCGCCAGTCCTTCGGGTACAATTTGCTCGCCACGTGCAGGGAGGCCTTGCAGCAACACCCCAACACCAAAGTCCGAGATTTGCCACAGCTGGAAGCTCACATGCACATCAAGGTCGTGATCGGAGCCCCGCCTATGTCCGGACCAGCCGATCCAGACGGCGTCGGCATAAGAGACTGGCAGCCGGTGCTCTACGCCCCCACACCACACGAAGGACTCAACCTGATCAGTTTCATCGTCCGACACAAAGTGACGACCGGCCAACTTCTCCAACTTCCCCACTTCATCGCGCTCTACCCGGGCGAGGAAACCGCCACCGCACCCGACCCCTGGGTGGTGCACGACGACCACCATCTACAGCACCGACCATTTCAAGCACTCCCGCCCAAAGGCCGCCGCCACATCATGCTGCAGGTAGAAATCGACCCTATCGCCGACACATCAACAACCATGCCACCGAACAGCGAAGGCGAGCCTACAGAAAGACCAGACACGCCGCCCGAGTACAGTCTAATGATTTTCGGCGGCATCTACGGATTCCGCGAGCTCTTCGACACGGCCAACATCCAGGGCGGCACCGTACCTATCCCGGACAGCGAAAAGACCGAATATGTCCGACATCTGAAACTCACCTTCTCCGAGGACCACAAGCACAAGCTCACAAACGTCCTGGAACAAGTCCTACTCAACGTGCCGGTCTACCTAATCGACAACACGGAAACGAAGAGAGATCCCTTGATCAGTTGGCTTCTAGAGCAGCCCTCCGTGTACCTTGGCGAAACGTCAAAATAAGCAGGAGCGAGTTTCTCGCAGGCATTCCCAGAAAGAGGCAGCCGAAGGCCCGCCCGACCGGACGCGAAGACCAGTACAGAGTCCGTCCGACAGCGGGCCAAGACTCCACACAAAGAGTCAAGACCGTCCCCCTTGCAACCGAACGCAGCGACGACGGCAAGCGACAAGTAAAAGAAAAGCAGGATACCGGTTAAGAAATGTGAAGAACTTCATAGGTCACAATTCGCAAACCTCCAGTCAAACAGTTAAAGAGCCGCAGAGAGCAGTCAGAACACACCGTCGCAGCCAGACAAGCAGCGGCTCAAGCCGAGCAACCTCCTGCAAAAGCCGACGCCAAGCCCCGATGGCCGCAATCGACTACGCGCACTGGCAGCACATCCTAGGCGACAGCAGCGAAGGAGAAGATGAAGAAAGCGAAGAAGAAGTGTTCCAAAACCCACCTGCAGCAAGGTCTCCGCGACGCGACATCGTCCGAGGTTCGTTCGCAGTACGAAATCCACCGAAGCCCGACAACAAGGAAGAACGTCGTCTCCTGCGTGCTGAAAAACAAGAACTACGCCTCTACCTCCAACGCAACCCATGTCCTCCAAAGAAACTCATACAGGAGTGGCTTCTCCAAGTCGCAACCACGCCGCGCACCGAAAGCCGTCCTGGACCCAACTTCGCGTATGTGATGAAGAGCATGGAATGGACCTACGAGCACCTCGGCTGGCTTCACTACCGCTCTCTCCTGATCCTCTGGACGTCCGGCACCACCCGAACAACAGAGGCCTTCGACGCGCAACGCAAAGCCGGCATTCAGCTCTACCAACGAGGAGGACGCGAATGCATGCAGTTCAACTACTACGTCCTCCACTACACGATGTGCGGACGACACTTCATTCCCGACCCTCCCCGGTCCGCCTTCGGCTTCAACAGCCAGATCGAGAAAGCGTGGGACGGAATCGGATCGTGGCAGGCCTGAAACGAACCAATACCATGTACTGTACAGACCTGTGCGCCAGACTCCGACACATGACTGCGAAGGGAAAAAAGCAAAGGCACCAACCGCCGCAGCAAAAACAGCTCTGCGCAGCAGGTGAGAGCACAGATCCCATCCGAGTCCTAACCCACCACAGCAAAAAACCGCCAAAACCGCAGCCCATTTGATGCAAAAGACACACGACCGGCATGCTTCACAGAGTCTCACCAGCCATGCAAACGACGAAAGCAGCGACAGCACCACAGCTGATTCCTCGACAAAAGCCCCAAAGACACCGAAGCCCGGCAAACTAAGGACAGAACACACGCGAGAACTTCCTCCCTGACCGCTGCCACATGCTTAATGTCGACACCACCACTAGCGAAGCCACGGACGGTTCACGTGCTACTACAAACTCAATCGACCCAAGGTAGTCCCGGAAAGGCAGCTCGTGGAACACGACGGCGCCGTCGATGCCAAGAAACTCAGCAACCCGACAGCATTTCATTCACATGCCCAAACAGCTTGACAAAACGAAAATGCCGAGGCGAGCATGTGCCAATCTCCAACAACAGCCTGCGAGATCAAGCTCTCCACATCACCCAATACTCGCACCTCGAAGCGGAGTTACAGCAACGGATACAAGCAGAACTCTGGTATCAATCCAGCCGAGAATGGTGGCAGAGCTGGACAACCACCGGCTCCCCTGCGCACTACACGCAAGCGTCAAGGACGCGCATGATCCAGAGCGCCGCCCACCACGCAGTGCATCCAGCCCGCATGATCTCCCTAAGCAAAACCTTCGCCACTCCTGCAAGCCGGCTACAACTCCGGAAAGCCCGCATCCTTCTGCTGGAGGCCTGCGAGAGTGACATGCGGAACACCATCAGACGCATCTCAAATCTGAAATAACCTGCCCGACGAGTAGGAATGCGGTCAAAAGAAGTGAGAAGCCAAGACACAGTCCACCAACGAGCGAGCGCAGGCCAAACAAAAAGGATACGCTGCAGCAGATCCATGCGAGATCCGGACACCCTCCCGCACCCCCCCCCCCCCAATCTCCACCCGGCCCCTCTACTGCGACTATGTCGGCCAAACAAACACAAACTCCACCGCAAACTCAAACTGACAACTGCCCGCAGCCATAAAACAGCGATCCAGTGACGTCTCACCGCAGAGCCATGGCGGCTACACCATCAGAAGCACGGGCGCCTTAGCATTTCTCTTGCAACTACCTCTTGCGTGCACAGTTCCTTGGCAGCAATGGTAATACAGCACCAGCACTCCAACTAAGGAGGAAGCAGCCGCAACAAGAGAAACGACTATTACCACTGGTCCAGAGACGGGGCCAGCCAACACGAAAGTCATACACGGAGATCGCCAACCCAACGAGCACAGCGAAGAACTCGACGCCTGGGCCGTGGCCACAGTCCCAGCACCAGTAACAAATAAAATTTTACAACAATCAGACCCAAACAGAGACACACACACAGAAACACAGAGAGCGCCACCTCACCGCAGCCCAGGCAACAGAACAGGAAGAAGTCGACGAAGCCACACGTGCTAGCGAGGACGACAGGTGCCTCACCCCTGCGCCAAAGCTAGGAGAACGAATTATGGTCACCAAAGAAGCTTGGCTAGCCTTGATTCTCAGCGGTGCCAAGACCATGGAAATACGGAATCGCCCAGCACAAGCCGGCCCAATCTGGATCGGTCACGGAGGCAAGATCTATGCTTCTGCTGAAATTACGGAATGCAGAGAGATGACGCAGGAGGAGTTCGAAAAGACAAGAGCGCAGCACCGGCACTTGAGCACAATGAGCAGCGGCAGCAAACTGTACGGCTTGCTGCTAGCGAACATCGTCCAACGAACCCAGCCAACGGAGTACTACCAAAAGCCAGCATCGGAACTCTGGACTTTCTTCAAAACGGCACCGGACGACAAGATCCCGCGCAGAACAGCCTCAAAGCGAACAGCGACCATGCCGGCCCTGAGGGATCAGCAAGAAGCCGGCAACTCCGCAAAAGAGACAGAAGATGGACAGCTTCCAGAAGACGACGACAAAGATGAAGAAACGCACGGAGCTGGAAGCCGCAAAAAGCAGACAAGAAAGAAACGCCGGTCTGCCATACCAACACTTCCGCTCACGTGAAGCGAAGGTGAAAGTGAAGCCAAGAAATGACTGTACAAAGCAAGCGATGCACTGCCGTCTCAACCCACGCGACCAGACCTCTTGCAAAAAAATAACACTTGCAGCTCATGACATGTGGGATAGCAGCATGCCACTCGGTCGCACGAAGAACGAACAGACTCCAGAAGAACGGCCACATGCGCAGCCGTTTCGGCAAAAGACGGATGCGAACCTGCATCAAACGCAGGAGCATAACAAGCGGAAGCACCGCGAGCATGGCTCGCCAGGAGACCCACACACGCACAATGCCGCGAAGAACGCCGTGGGCAGATGTCGAGGCACAAGCGCCAGTAGCCGAAACAAAGATTTGCAACCTGCCCGACACTCAGGACAGCAGCCACTCGGAGCAGGCACACTGCCGGCTGCTCTTACTCTCTCTCTCTCTCTCTCTATCTCTCTCTCTCTCTCTCTCCCTTTCTGTCGCTGCGCTTGCCATGATCGTCGACACTCCCGTCCCTCAACACCCAGAGGACATGGCAGCAGGGCCGACCAAAAACAACACGAACCACCAGAAAACAGGAAGACCGAAAGAAGCACCAAGCCAACAACGAAAAATGTACTGGTCCGACAGGAGCACCACGCCAACCGCGACACAGGACCTTCGCCGGCTGGAGCTCGTGCGACACGCCAAAAGACTCGCTCCAACAACATGGAAGCAAGCCTTCGGCAGCCAGAATCTCAGCACAGAGCATGCGTCAACGAGTAGCAACGGATGTCCAACATGCACCTCAGGAACTCTGCTGCCGCAGCCCCCAAAAGTTTCACAAGCCGAACCACGCCGATGCCTCACCTCGAGACGGAAACCACGGCAGAGTGGAGCCCCGGCCTCGGAACCTTTGCACTAACCCCAGACGCCAAACTCGGAAAAAAAAACCAAGCAATCACTGCCGCCGTTCTGCTGCAGGTCGTCCACACGAACACCAACAGCACGGCTACGATTACACCTGCACACTCGAAGAAGAAGTGCAGCAGTTCGTCCAAGCAGTCATGCACCAAGAGCTCCAACCCGAACAGCTGAAGTGGTGGCAAGACACCCTCAAAGAACGCTGTCGCTACCACCGCTTCCCGTGTCGAGCCTGGTTCGAGCTCGTGTACCAGTGGCAACCTCCAATAATGTCAACCACCCCAGACACCAACGACGGTGCACAGGGGCCACGACCGCGGACCTCGCAGAGCCACCCAACGCCGACCTGCAGCATCCCGTGCTACGTCCCCATCCTCCTACACTGGGACCAGAACACTTCCCCCGCACCGAGGCCAAGCATTCGTTTCCACAGACTATAGGAAAGCCCCAGGAACAGCCGCACGGCCTCGGATCCTCCACACGATGCCCACGAGGCTGCAGACACGCAAAATCAAAGCAGCGAAAAAGGCGTGCATGCTGCAGCGAGACTCATGCATGTACGAGATGTAACATAAGCTTCCTACAACAACACAACCACTGCCCCGGCCGATCCAGGCTCGAACCTTGTACCCCCACAGCTTACAGCCACGAAACAACGTCGTCTCACTGTCCAACACTCTCTCACCGGCCCCTGTGCCACCGGACCACTACACCAACCACCTACAAAGCAGGCTCAAGCAACCAGCAAACCTAACTCGTTCGCAACCTAGCCATGGATCAGAGCCAACCGAGCCAACCCAAGCACTCGTGATAAAACTGACCTGGATCAGTCGCATCCTCGAAAACGACAAAACATGGGAGCTTCGACGCACCAGCTTAAAGAAGCGAGAGCGCTTCGTGCTAGCCGTCAGCAAAGCCAGCTTCCTAGGGGGAGAAATCACCTTCGTAGGCGGCTTCCTTGTGGACATCTAGACAGATGAACAATGGCGGCCCTTCGCGGACGGCTAACGCTAGCAGGACCGCGAGCGCTTCCTACCTCGAGCAGAATACCTGCACAAGCATCAAGTCGACCGGGACACCATTCCCTACCACATCCTCTATGCATGGGTACTGACAAGTCCACAAGCCTACGAGCCCGAGAGACCATACTGCCCGCAAGCCGAGCCACTATTGCAGTCTGTGGAGCCGGCAACTAACACACGCCACGAAAATGACGATCCTAGACAAAAAAGAACAACCGAGGCACGACTCGTGGACACGTCCACACAGCCAACGCACCAGCTCCACAGCGCACAGCAGATCCTCGACAAGAAACACCGACGGCGACAACCAGAGGTTCCACCCACAAAGACCGACTGATCAAAAGTGCGAGCAGACCAAAAAAGAAAGCCCGCTGGCAGTGCTGATGTCAAAAGTAGCCGAGCCTGCAAGCACCATGCCAAGCGGCAACACGCAGCCGCGGACCGCAGCACGTGAAGAGCAGAACGGCGAAAACAGGGGCACCCCAGAAGAAGCACCTAAAAGCCCTGACAGGTATAACCGTAAAGACAATCTATAATCATAGTGGAATGCATCAACGAAGCAACAACCCACACAGCGTTAAAGTAGCAACACAAGCGAGATCCCACAAACATCTCCGCATAAAAACCAGGTACACTGCAAACCCATCCAAGCAACAGGAAGTACAACAAGTGAACACCCCACCTGCACCACACTCTGCTCGCCATGTCCCCGCAGCTTCCATGGATCCACACGTCCGATGCCACAGCCAGGCAGAAACCTTCACGAAAGACCAGCAAGCAGACCTCAATGACGAGGAAAACAAGATCACCCTGTACAGCGAAGGCCTCGATCACCTGCTGCCGCTGAGCTTGACCAGAAGCCCTGAACTACCGACAGACTTTCCACCGCGCGACCACAAGCCTCTGCCCGCCAGTCTACCAGAACATTTTGTCAACGACAGACTGCAGCACGTCAACCTTCACGATCAAGACAAGCACCTGCTCTTCGACCACGCGACACACACCTACTTCTGGAAAGACACCCGAGTGAGGGAATCGGTGACCCAACTGATCCACAGGTACGCCGCAGAGTTCGACCCAGAGGAAACGCTCAAACGCATGTCCGAAGGAGATCACTGGCCTCGGCCCGGGTACCTCAAAAAAAACATCGAGCCAGACATCATGGAAGCAATCAACCGACTGCCCAGGGGCCCCCACATCCTGGCCATGTTTCAGGAAAACCACCGCAACGAAGAAGAGCTGTGCCAACAGATACGGACGGCAGCGCAGCAAGCAAGCCCGCAGGAGGTCACCACACTGCGTAGCTTCGCGATGTCGAGCAGCGAGATAAAACAGAAGTGGGAAGCCGCCCGTGACAACGCGGCCCGAGAAGGAACCTGGATGCACGCTCAATTCGAGTGCCTGCTGAACGGAGGGTCCGTGCGAGAAATGACCTCAGAGATCGCCCTGCTCTTCCGCTTCCTAGGGAAACTGCACGAAGGCACGGCCTACAGAACCGAATGGAAAGTCTACGCCGAGGACATCGACGTAGCCGGTAGCATCGACTTCGTCATCCAGCAAGCCAGCGGCAGCCTAGTGCTCGTGGACTGGAAGCGAAGCAGCAGAATATCAAGCCGCGGAGAGCATTTCAACCGCTTCATGAAACCGCCCCTGGCACACCTGGGAGACAGCACCCTCTGCCACTACCACCTACAGCTCAACGTCTATCGATGGATTCTCCAACACCATTACCACAAAGTCATCGCAGAAATGTACATCGTGGGGACGCATCCCGACAACGGCCACGAACCTTGGATACAGCAGGTCGGAGTCATGGACAACGAAACCACGAAGCTCATCGACGAAGCAGTCAAGGCACGGGACAAGCAAGACCACGTGAGACACCGTTGAAGACGGCCCCCCGCTCGCCCGCCACGAAAATCAGTCAAAAAAGAAGTGACGCAGAAACACACGTGCGGCGACACATGCAAAGTCAAGGCTAGCCACATGCGCATGTATCGAGCACACGACCGCCCCCCTATAACTCTCAGCGAACTTCCCAGCCAAGCCTAGCCCTGGCTCAAGTACGATCAACGGCTTGCACGCGATGGCCAGAAGGACCTCAGCCAGCGCGCCCGAGCCTGCAAAGAAACGCAAAAGCGAGGAGTTGCTGCGCATCTTCAACCTCGCAGGCGAACAGCTGCTGGAGATTGTCCTCGAGGAGCCAAAAGCAGCAAGCACCATAAAACGAGAACTACAAGTCCAACTGGGCTTGCCACGCTTTCGGCAAAGACTACTCGGAGAACATGGCCCCCTCCACGACGCGGACACAGTCAAGGCTCCGACAGACTTACAGCTAGTGAAACTCGACTACGGCCCGCCCAACCAGCACGACACAACACGACTCATCGCAGCCGCGCGCAGCCAGACCCCGACCAAACTGGAGGAACTCCTCAGCCACCCACTCAATCCGAACTGTGTCCAAGCAACGCTGTTCTCCACCACCACGCCCCTCGAAGCAGCAACGAGAGGCAGAAAACTAGAGAACGTAAAGCTCCTGCTGGAAGCCAAAATCAATGCCAACACCGACGAAGACCACGGCCTGCTGCTGCGAGCAGCACAACGACAGGACCAGACAGCGGTCCAGCTCTTGATCGCGGCCCGGTGTCACTTGGAAACACGCAACCACACCGGCACTACGGCCCTCGCCGCCGCAGCACGCAAGAGCAACGTCCAAATCGTGCACATGCTTCTGCAAGCCAGAGCCGATATCGAGGCCCCGAACAACAATCGACGCAGACCACTCGCGCTCGCTGCGTGGGCAAACCAGCCCATCATCGTGCTAACGCTACTAGCAGCACGCTGCAACCCGCTGGCCGCAGAACCACGTCACCCAGATGGGATCCCTGCATCAGCGGCCAAAAACATCTTCCTCAGCGCATGCGTGCAAGCAGGCAAACAGGCCATGCGTGAAGCGTTTCTCGCCGGACCGAAGCCGTGTGTCGACCAGCCGCACGAAGAGCTCCAGGAGCCCGTATAATTGAACTGAACCCAGAAGAAGCGAAAGCTGGACGGTCGCATCCACCGGCTAATGCCACCGACCATTGCTGAATGGGCCTGCTCCGACAACGAAAAAGACCAGCCGAGCCCTGCACGTGCCTCCCATACCGAGAAACCCACTTCAAGAAGCACTCAAAAACATCGAACCCGCTAGCACATTTTCTGGCTCGGAAGCATACCCACGCACAACTAAATAGCCAAGCCGCGACAGCAGGCATGTCCTCAACCAGAATCGATACGTCTGCTTGTCCTGGGAGCAAAGAGGTGCAACCGCCAGATTTGTGCATGCTCGTCCCCCCCCCCCCCCCCCATCCCGACCCACCCCTCCTTCATGCCAGCCACTGCTGCGAGGTGCTTGGTTCGCCGATCGGCTCCTCAACCAGCAAACAATGCCAGCGGCTTCTTGAAGTAAGGTGCCAGGATATCGTCCTCAACCCGAAAGAAGCCAATTCGCTCACCTGCTCGACAACCTGGCTCAACCTCGACCTCAACCTGTCAAAGCCGCCTACACCTAGCCTCGACGAGCGACAGCAAATCAGAGTGACGGCAGCAAAAAAGGGGGCAGCGGGAACTGGCAAATCACATAGTGCACACTGATCCCAAGAACAGACCACACACAAGAAAGCCCCCGAGCCTCGCTGGTGTACTTACTTACTCCGTCCAGCATATGCACAATACACACAAACCGCCCTTCCGGCAGCACAAGAAGCAATGGCAAACTCCGTCCTGTTGCACTCCGATAACTGTAACTGTAGCCCTGGCTCAAAATACTTTGCTGGTAGCCCGCCAAGCGACATGCACCAGCCGATCATGCTGCACGTCCGCGGCTGCAGCGGTCAAGTGATCTGCACCATCGATCCCTCAGCCCGCAGCCACAAAGACGGGATCGTCCTTGACGACCTGGCGCTCACCGTAGGCATGCGCCTAGACGTGCCCGCCAACCGCATCAGCATTCACTTCGCTGAAGGACAAGCTGAACTAAATCCGAAAATGACCTGGGCCGACTGCGAACACCTCACTGCCCAACACAGCAGCTACGAACTACTGGCAGTCGTCCGACATTTTCGAGACGGAGGAGCACCCGAACTATCCCTTGCCATTCAGATGGAGAATCACCGACAAGTCTGCAGCCTGCTAGAAGACCTAGTGGACCCCAACATCGCAATCAGCCACGACAGCAACTACGCACCATGCAGCCCTTTGTGCATCGCCGCCTACACCAATTTTGACAACCCCTACATCGCCCAGGCACTCACCGCGGCCCACGCCAATGTAGACGGGAAGCACTTCGCCATGAGTCCTCTGACGGCAGCCTGCGAAAGTTACAACCTGCAAATGATCAACTTCCTCGTTGAAGCCCGCGCAGACACAAACCGACCAACGTCGTCCACGGACACGCCTCTGCTTATTGCGGTGTCCATGGATTCCGCACCGCTGGTGCACCTCCTCCTGCGCCACCGTGCCAACATCAACCAACAAGATCATTGGCAACGCGGTCCCATAGAACGGGCCTTCCAGCACAGGGCACCCCGAGCAGCAGCATGCCTTCTGCGGGCGAAAGCGCAAGTGCAGCCGCACACAGATGCCAACGGCTTACTCCACCGCGCCGCAAGCAAAGGCAGCTTAACCTGGATCAAAATACTCCTCGCAGCCGGGGCAAACCCGCAAAGCAGAGATGAGCACGGCCGCCTTCCCATCAATGTCCTCCGACGCCTGCCAACCTTTCAACAGCGCCAGCAAATCAAACGCAGCCTTTGCTCAGCCAGTCCCACAGCCACTCGCCGCAGCCCATCCGCGGAAAATCCAGTGGGTCACACAGGCGAGTAGGAGTCCCGCCCACGCTGCGTAGAACGCTTCGAGACCAGCAGCGAGACCGGCAATGCGAGGAAAAAAACTGCAGCTCAGAGCGCAGAGCATTCACTTGTGCAGGTATGGACAGACGAGCAAGCCAGAAACACGCAAGCAGCAAGTGACACGCCAGTGTACAGCAAAGCCAGAACACGCGGCAGCACCAAAGTGCCAGCCACCAATGGCCATCCAACGCCATCTAAAGAAAAGAACGCAAGTAACAGCCAAGCAACGGCTAGAGGAAAGCGGACATCCGGCTGCAAGAACATCTCCATGCTCAAGGACCACACCACCAAAACGGCACCAGAACAAAAGGAACCTCACCAAAACCGATTGCATATATGCAAAAACATTACCCACACACCGCACCCCATCCCGCCACAGCATGCCTGTGTTCTCGGACAAAGAATCTAAGTGAAAGTAGCAAGACCAGCAGCAACAGCAGCAGGAACCAACCAAGAACTGTCTAACCCACGCCAACAACGTAGCTCCAGCAAGAAAGGATGCATTCTGCCACCAGAAACAGTAAACAGAACGAACGCGGGCTGTCTCCGACGAGCAGCCATTTCACGGCTCATGCAGCAAAAACATCCGTAGATTCCCTTGATTCCCGACAAAAAAAATCCGCCACACGATGAAAGGAAATCTCCGCAGCAACCGAAGCCCTCGCCGAAGTCAAGAAGAAGCCGCACAGAAGAAAGCGAGGCACTGCATGGAAAGAGCAATCTACGCCAAGGAGGCGGTCCTGTTCGACGGCTTGCTCCTCCACCACCTGTCGCCTTGGCCCCCTTTCGGTCCAGAACCCCCGGAAACACTCAAGGCCCCTCGACCAGAAGATGCCCGATCACTATTGCAGCTGAGCGGCACCTGTAAGGCAGCGGCCCGGTGCTTCCATTCGGCCGGGCTGCGAGCACTAACACGCCATCTTCGCGAAGACAATCGTTGCCTGGCAAGCTACGCCCAGCAATTGGAGAAAACCCTGGCTTGCGTACTCCACATGACGGAGAGAACCCTGGCACAATTCACACAAGTGGAAAACTGAAGCTGAGCTCTCGCAAGACCGTATGCAATAAAGCAGTCTAGCCTCCCACCCACATACCGTCGCTCCCCCGGCCACTACACAAACCGAGAGCTCGCGAGACAGAGCCCATGCTCAAAAGGTGCGGCAGCTGTACAGTCACTAGCTCGTCGCATACAGAAACAGCACAAACAGAACGTCCCTACGTTTACAACAAACCGCGTCAACCAACGACAAGGCACGCATGATAGACGACAGAAGTTTGACTGCTTCGAGTATGGAGCCGAAAAAAGCGCCCGACCCGCAAGCCAAAAAAGGGAACACTTGCCCAACGGAGCCACCCACGTACATGCGCAAATGCAATGCATAGCCCTTGGGCACTGCAGCCATCCAGCTATCCAGTCACGACACAAGCCACACATCGTCAAACAGCTTGCGCGCATGCTAGAAGAACCGCCGTGTTCGACGGCGAAAACCACCGCGAGAAGAACAGAGCGCGAGAGCTCGCGCCAGCGCATGCAGCAGGACACCCAATCAGCAGGCATGTTGCAGGTCCAGAGCCACGAGGCACCTGCCTATACCGAATACCCATGCGTAACCACCAGAAAGCCATGGATGCAATCGCGCCCAGTCACAAGACCCCCGCCTGGAAGCCGGGAAAGTTCGCTCGACGAACACTGCAGACGGCCCCAACGCCAGGACACCTGCGAATCACCAAGCTAAGCGGTGAGCATCTCGCCGAAACTCAAACAAATCGACATCGAAGGGTGAAAGACCTGCTCGCCTACCTGGAGCCTTACTGCAACGTTTCCAGGCAAAGAATCAGAGTCCTCCAGCACACGCGCAGGCTGCCACACCGCAATCTACGCCAACTACGCCTCAGAATCACGAAAGACATGCAGGCTGTCATCCTGCCGTATGTGCACCTGCTCGAGGGCTCAAAAGAAAAAGAGGATTTCAGACTGGCCCTGTGGAACAGACACGCCAAAAAACTGGCAAAGCTCCTATGGCGACCAATCGACCCAAACACCATCTTCAACAGATACTACCCATCGCCGACGTCAGCACTCGAACTGCTCCTGCTGAACCCGACAGCAAGCTGGCCAGCAGCTGCCCTGCGACATATCCTGGAAGCCAAAGCCGCCCTGGACCGACCCGAGAACAAAGACGTGCTCCTCCTGGCCGTGAGACAGGGACAAGCCCACTACGTACAACTACTTCTAAGGCAGCAGGCAAACCCTCGTGGCTCCACGAACCGACTGACACCATTGGACATGGCATGTCAACATCACCCCGAGGACTTCTCGCACAACGCTCAGCAACCGGGTCTAATCACCATGTTGCTAACAGCCCAGGCCGACCCAGAGCCCATGCTCCGTGACGCCAACAGCTGGGCCGCACACCCGACCCCAAGGGATTACGTCGACCTGGCAAACCCTCGCACGCTAAACAGCACCGTAACCTTGGCCTGCGCAGCAGCCGCTCATTCCAACCCGACGTTTATGCAACAAATTCTGGCAGCCGCAACCACTGAGCAAACCGCCACGATCACCGGAGATCTCCCCTGCAAAGCTGCACAAACGTCCGCCATAGCCGCGAGTCTCTGCAGCGCAGCCTATGCAGGCAAGACCAACCACGTGCGCTGGCTGCTAGGCATGAAAGCAAACCCAGACGCCCACGTGTGCCACCGGATCCTGCAAGGTAAGCACGACTTCATGTCAAGTGGCCACGACCACCAGACAGCCGTCGCCCTCGCCGCCGCCAAGGGACACTACGCCACCGTGCAAACACTGCTCGAAGCCAAAGCCGATGCAAACCTCAGCTTCAACGGACAGCCACTCTTGCTGCAAGCTACGCACCTCCAACCCCCAGCAGCCGTAATAAGCTCCATACTGGAGACGCACCAGGAAAGCAACCGAAGAGACAGGTTTGGACCCACGCCACTCTCGCTCGCACCATGAAGCGGAGAATTCCAAGACAAGACAGCAAGTGAAATCCTGCCGGAGGTCCAAGCCAGCAGCTGTCACAAAGACCGCCTCGGCCAGCACAGCATCGCAGCAAGGAAGCCTAACACAGAGTTCCACCATCATGAACGGCCACAACAAAAATCGCAAGATCCGCGAAAAGAAGCAACCGAACGCAGCCGCCAAATCCAAACATCTGTCAAGCGACACAAGAAGCACGGAAAATCCATGGCAGCAAAGCATCCAACAAGTCATGCTGCTGTTCGAGCGGAACTGCAAGATGAACCGCCGGAGCGTAAGTCAGCCGGCAAAGAGCTCTGCTTGCCTGCCCGGGCTGATCGCGAAGACCAAGCAGTCGCCAGACGGAACAAGCAGCAAGACTTCAGGCGTCATCAACATGAACGCCAAAAAAAAACTCCAGGCTTCGCCTAATCAGTAAACCCTCAGAAGACTAGGCACACACACACACACACACCAGTTGCAAGGCTTCAGCAGTTCCGGTATCCGAGCCGCGAGATGACGAGTTTCACTTCATCAGCCTGCCCATGCGGCATGGTTCGCCGCCAGACAGCAGATCCCAGAGTGTCGCAACAAACGAGCAAAATGCCGCAGATGCCGTGCGAAGCTGTGATCAAGGAGCCAAACCCATTCTGCAATCCAGCAGTGCTTCAAGCCGAAACCGTTGCCGACCGGGTAGCCCCGTGAAGGTGCACAGCACAACGTCCTGTGACAACACACCCCTCAACGCCGCCGCCGCAGCACACTCAGCCCCGACCTACTATCCAGCTCCAACAAACGTCCCCCGACTGTGGTCCGGCACGAGCCTCAGCCACGACTGCTTTCGCCATTAAAGTCGCAAGCAGTCTCCGAGAGAAATCCCTCAGCCGTGCTTCTAAGGTCAGCTGGCGCGAAAACGATGTTGGACGACGTGGACGAATACATCCAGGCCCCGAGCCCCTCGATCGACGGTGGGAACGAGTTCGACGATTGCGACTGGATGCACACAGAAATGCAGCGGGAAGCCGAGGAAAACGCGCGCGAAAGAGAGGCATGGAACAAAGAAATGGACATCCAGAATGCGCACAACAAACGTCTGTCGAACATAATTGTGAAGTACATGAATATGGACGGCGAGGAAATTCACACCTCGAGGCCCTACCCATTCAGCCAGCTTGACTGCGGGTCGTTCCGCGAAGCATGGCTAACCACGTTACACGAAGGGAACAACCCAGATCGATTTCTCACCCTGCACGAGCTACGTGATAGACGGAAGAAGACGAACAAGCCCTTGCCTGCAGAAGTACTAACGCACAGAAACCCCAGAGAAGTCCTGCTCCATGACTTGGACAGCAGTCGCATCGGGCCGATCTGCCTGGATACGACAAAACTGGTCGTGGGCAAGGACCTGATCACGGACACCTGGAGCTGGGAGGACCTCTTGGAGTGCAGCTTCAACAAGGACACCGTGCACGTGCATGTCGTCCGCACTTCTGAGCAAGCCACCGGCCCGTGACCGAATAGTCCCAGTCCTAGAGCTTCAAGTCCGGGCCACACGAGCTGCCTCGCAGAAACCTGCGAGCCAGAATACAGAATGTGGCCCAGGCCGTCAGCAAGACGAAAATAGAGCGCAAGCGGCAATCGGCGGTTCGAACAAAAACACATCAAGAACAATTGCAACGAAAGCTTCTCAACAAAAGGATGCGACGGAAAAGACCCGACCGACGTAACACCGACCAGACATGTCCAGGCCACCCACTCCACGCCACACCGCCTGCACAACTGCAGAATGCAGCCAACAACACCACCCTGCGCAGCACTCCGGCTCAAAAACAAACAGAAATGCACCGATCCAGTCTCCGGCAAAGCCATCAGACAAGCATGGCCAAGCAGCCGCCCAGGAGCGGAGAACCTGCGAGATCCCTGCGCATCTACACCTTGTCCGGAGAAGAGCTTTCCGACCTACCGGAACTTCCTGAGCATGCAACCGCTGGCTACCTGAAGCAACAGTTGCAAGTCACACACGGGATGCCGCGATTCCGACAGAGACTCTTCAACGGCACCCACACCCTGCAAGACCAAAACGAAATAGCTCTTCCGGCAGAGCTCCAGCTCATGCTGATTAGCTACATTCCCGCCACGCGCGACAACGTGCTCGAGTTGATCCACGCCTGCGACCTGGCAAGAGAAAAAGAAGTGATAGAGATTCTACACCGACCACAAGACGTGAACGTGTCCTTGCCGTTGCCCATGGAAGACAGCCACCAAGAAGACGACAGCGACGACGAGAGCGTGCACTCAGATCGAATCGACACCGCCCTCCAAGCAGCAGCTCGAGAAGACCACGAATCCATCATCGAGCTCTTGCTAGAAGCCCGTGCCGACATGCATGCACCGGGCAACAACATCGCGCTCTGGTGGGCAGCAGGAAAAGGCAGTACACATGCAGTAAAAGCGCTGCTACGCGCACGTGCCGAGGTAGACAACACAAACCGCCGCGACGAGACCGCCCTCATCGAGGCAGCCTGGCAGAGCCAAGACAACACCGCCGACTTGCTGATCCGAGCCCGCGCCAACCTCGAAGCGCGCGATAACCACGACCGCACACCCCTGGTCGCAGCCTGCACCGCAAACAGCCAAGAGGTTGCAACCTTGCTACTTCGAGCTCGCGCAGATTTGCAGCACCTCATCCAACATGAGGACACAACCTCGGACATGAAAACAACTGCAATGTGTGCGGCAGCCACCGCAAACTATCTAGACGGCGTGACAGCCTTGCTCGAAGCCAGCACGAACATCAATGCTGCCGACGACACAGCCGACGGAACCGCGCTCTGGTATGCCGCAAAAGAAGGACACACAGAAGCCGTTGCATTGCTCCTGTTCCACAAGGCCAACCCAAACACGCACATCACCGAGGGAAAAGGGGGCAGCGCCCTGTGCGCAGCAACATCTCAAGGAAACAACACCGTGGTCGCACAGCTGCTGATGGCCCGAGCCGACCCGAACTTCTACGGCTTCCCCGCCGAGCCGCCTCTGGTCCTAGCGTGCCTGCAAAACAAGCCCGACACCGCAGAGCTGCTGCTGCATGCCAAAGCCAACCTCGAGGAAAACCTGCTGCGGGCGATGTTCCACTACGAGATCGCCCAAGCCCTCAAGCACGAGTGCGCACAAGATCTCCTCCTACGCCAAGCACAGCGCCGAAAGAGAAGCAGCTGGTCGCCGGGCCGGTTCGCAAGGCAAATGCGACGAAAAGCATCGGTCCAGTCCACAGAACCTCCTCACCAGACACAGCGATCCAAGCAAAGCGCGGACTCTCACCGACCGGCACCGAAGCATGGCCAACGAGACAAGACCAGGCGCCGTACTGAAACTTCCTACTGAAACAGTCCAACACGGACAGGGGCGACAGCGGAAAAATGCTCGCACACGCCCCACGGTCATGACAGCAAGGCAGACACCGGGGCACGGCCTCGTCGCAGGAATGCCTTCAACACACAGGACAAACGATACATCGACACTGCATCAACATATCAGACATAGACATACACGCAGACAACAATAACAAGAACAAGAACATGTGAACATGCATATACATATATATATATATATATATATGTGCTAGACATATGTACGCAGACACAATCGCTCACCGAAACAAAGCCAGCAACGAGCCACAGCAATGCTAGATCGAGCAAAGAAAAGATACACGCTTCCACGCAACGGCTGCAAGCAACTCACAAACGAGTCCAGCAACACCACGATGAAGCCCATGCCTCAAAGCTGACAAACACAGCTCCAGCCCCTGCGAAGCAAACGATACTCAAGCAAGAAACCAACGCAGAAGCATCAGAGACAACCAGCAGGAAAAGCAAGATACCATCGCAGGACTAACCAAAGAACTACTGTGGAAACTCCTGAAAAGCAACGAAACCCGCAACTCGAACGGCACCCTCGCAAGACACCTCGACACCGTAGCAGCTGACATTCGGCAAAGACGACACCACCTGATGCAGCGCCCGCTGTACGACCAAACGACAGAAGAGGCACCAGACGACATCACCCTCTAGTCTAAAGAATGCAGACTCCCTGCGAGAACCAGCTCGCTTATCTAGAAAGCAGAGAGCAGGAACGGAAGCCTTCCTTTACTGGAGAGCGAGCAAGAAAGGAAACAAACTGCAAGCGACGGGTAACCACTGCGCAGACAGGCCATTGCCGCATGCGACTCTGAAAACATATCCTGTCTGCAATTGCTGCTCGAGACAAGCTGCACAAGCCGGCGCCTCCAGCCCTCTGCGTCCACACGAAGAACGAGGAAGTGTAACTAAGCAAGAAGATGGCGCCCGCGTCGCTCACTGCTACTGCAGCCGCGACGATCCTCGAGCACCTCCACAACCAGCCACTGATCAAAACAGGTCCAGCAGACCGCCACCAAGCGCCACTCGGCACAGATGTGGAGCGGACCGCTGAGCACCTCGCACTAGAGCTACTGCGGCACCACAAGCGCTGGCGCGGATCAGAGTTCGTCACGGAAAAAGGTAGAGTCGAAAAGGATCCGCTGAAAATCGCACGCTCCGCGGGCAACTACCCGGAACTATTCTCTTTCGCGTGCTGCTTCCTGGATCCTGCCGCCATGGTAAGCTTGGCAGTGCCTCCAAACAGCCATCCGAACTACGACATCAGGCTGCTGACCATAATGTATGATTGGCAACAAGGGACATGCGGCAGCAGGAGGAAACAGCCGATAGATCTCTGGCGACCACAGCAGTTCGTGCTCGACATCAGTTTTCTACCTCCAGCCTTGCTGCCCGAGAACGACGACTCCGACGTGGACGAGGACTATGTGCCGCCCCTGCCCTGCTCCTACGCAAAGCTGCGGGTACATGGCACCGTCCTGCCGCCGGTCTGGCGCTCCATGAGCGCCGTGTGCAAGAACTGGGACGCAGCCGTCTTCGCGGTTCGCAGTGCGAGCGGCTGGAGCAGCGTCTGCGGCAAGCCGCGCCCGCGTGGCCAACGCAGCATGTGCGAGTTCATGCTAACGGCCAAACGCAGGCGAGTGGCCGACGCTCGAGACCCACACTGCTTCAACTGCCGACCCAAAGTGGCTGCAACGACAAACTCAGCCACAGACACAGACACCGATGCAGAGAACCACGGACAAAGCGACGCAAGTCAAGACCAGACTTGAGCTTACAGGCTGTGTCATACGAAGACAAGCCCAGCACATGCAACGGCTCTTGCTCGTGGCTATAGTAAACCAAGAAAGTCCTGCAATGAACCATCATATACGAACAGGAACAGTAGCACTTGGCCGCACCGGCAGAAACTTGAAGCCCGCAAGCCAGAATAAGTCCAGCAAGCACCCAACAACTACTGCTTTGCGACAAGGACATGCTGCGCTCGTCGTAACCCTTTCAAACATCAAGCTTTCACTCGCATCAAGCCGACGTTTCTCTGGCACGTAGCGGGGAGGTAAACACACCAGTGCCACCAGCACGTCTGCCATCAGCATAGCTCCCACTCGCAGCCTGCTCGACCACAGCGGAGGAACAACCCACCTTATTGTGGCAGCGCCATTCACGAAACAAATCTGACCCTCTTCCCGGCCTGTCCTGACAGGTCGACGAGTGAAGCCGGAAGGCATTCAACCGCGAGGATTAACCTGCAACACAGTGTCAAATGACTCTGACAACCCCGGTCCGTGACTATGTCGACTGCTTGCAACAGATCACGTACAGGCACCCCCCCCCCCCCACACAACCCCGTTGCAGCACGGTTAACGCCCGAGGCAGCGCATTCGTCATTCAGAACATGCCAGCCAAAGTTCTCGGAAATATATGAAAAAACGATGTGAACGTGCATGTCACGCTGCTTGCACACTCTCACCATATAGAGTCGTTGCTCGGCATGTTTGTCAGCTAGTCTTGCTGCAGCACCGGCACACACTGAGCCCCCCAGCAACAACACAACCCAACTGTCGCCGCATTTTCAGATCGAACAATTGCAGATGTCCTGCACAGCACCCCGGCACAAGACCGTCGCCCTGATGGAGCTCTCGAGGAGGACTGTACCGGTATACATGACAGCAAGCGGCGAGAAGATTGCCGACGTAGAGTTGGGAGAAGGACACCGCCAGGTCCGAGACGTCGCCACGCAGCTGCAACCGAAGATCAAGGCAAACCGATTTCAGCAGCGGCTACTTCGCCAGAGCAACTCCGCCGAGCTTCGCGACGAGCATCTCCTGGATTCCGACGTCAAGGAACTGTTCCTAATCCTACTTCCATACGTCGACATCAACCCGAAGGCCGAGACGGAGCTACTGGACGCGATCGAGGAAGAAGATATCACAGAAGTCGAAGCCATCCTCCGCCGACCGCAGCACCCCGACGCCTCCTGCTACCACACGAATGCTCTGCTGCTCGCAGCCCACAAGAACAACTCCGACATCGTCAAGCTTCTCCTGGAAGCGGGAGCGGATGTCACACGACGGGCCAACGACCAGGCTCTGCTAGAGGCAGTCCAAAACGACAACTTCGAAGTAGCAACAATGCTGCTGGCCGCAAGGGCGTCGCCACACCCGCAGCCAGGCGACGACTACACGCCCCTGCACGAAGCAGCCATGGCACAGCGCTGGGACATCATGTTCATACTACTAGAAGCAAGAGCGCGGGTAGACGATCGCGATCCGGAAGGCAACACAGCGCTGCACTTCGCGTGCGACCAAGCCTACAGAGACCCGGTCCTCACCTTGCTGGAATACCAAGCCAACCTCGAGGCCGAGAACAACGACGGAATCACGCCAAAGACCGTCGCCCTGTGTGGGGCCACCATACGCGAGCTGGTATTCTACGCTAACTCGATACAGGCCGCGAACTCAGACTCCAGCGATTCAGAATAACTCACAGACCAAGAAAACGCCGACGGCATGGAGAACTCCCGAGATTGTGAGTCTCACATGAGCGGAGAAAACTGAAAGCCGATGCTGTCCACGAATCAATCGACCGTGCCTCCCAGAAAATGTCATGCACGGTTAAAAGAGCGACCAGAAAATCAGCAAGGGAGACACGCAACACAGTCAGCCAGTCCAATGTAGACGCCACTTAAAGTCAGGCTCGGTCGACCGCCACTTCTTTAACAAGCCGGAGCGAACAGCAGCCAGGCGGAGTGCAGACGATCCGCTGCAGCTGATGCCAAGAAAAGCGAAAGCGCTCCTGCACGTCAGCAGCCACCACAGAGCAAAAGCTAGACGGCCATGAGTATATAGCACTCGAAATCCCAAACACCGCTGCGACGAGACGCATGCCTGTATGCATGCAAGCCCAGGAACAAAACATGGGAATGCCGCTCAGCGCAAAATCCATCACGGCCTGCACAGACGTTCAGCAAACAAAATTACCAAGTCAGCAGACCTACATACAACCACTTTTCCCTAAACACACAAAACCTGAAGAGTGGCTCCAGCCAATAGCAGTGCTGAGGCCACGTGAGGTCTTCCAGCATGGTGCGTCGCAGCATTAAAGGGCCAGAAAGCCCAATTTGGGGCTTGGAAGGGGTCTGGAACAAGCCCAAAAACCCAATATGAAGTCTTGGAAGGGGTTTGAAAAGGGCCAAAAGGCCCAATTTGAGGGCTTGGAAAGGGTTTAGAAACGGCCAAAAAACCTCCAATTTGGGGCTTGAAAAAGGTTTGAAAAAGGCTAGAGAGCCCAGTTTGCGGACTTGCAGCGGGTCTGGAAACGCCAAAAAGCCATTTCGGGGAATTGATAAAGGCATAGAAACGGCCAAAAGCTCAATCTGGTGGCTGGAAGGGGGTTTGGAAAAGACCCAGAACCACAATTTGGAGGTAATATCAAGGTTGAAGCCTTTCAACGCAAGGCCGGAGCTGAAGAATTACGGTTTCGGACGAAATCCTAATCCACGTGCATTTTATTCAGGAGAACCACCGGGAATCCTTATCCACGTGCATTTTATGAAGGCAAACCACCTGGAACCCTTGTCCACATGCATTTTTTTTCAAAGAAAACCACCTGGAATCCTTATCCACGTGCATTTTATGAAGGAAAACCACTTGGAATCCTTATCCACGTGCATTTTATGAAGGAAAACCACTTGGAAATTTTATCCACATGCATTTTATGCAGGAAAACCACCTGGAATCCTTGTCCACGTGCATTTTATGAAGGAAAACCACTTGGAATCCTTATCCACATACACTTTATGAAGGAAAACCACCTGGAATCCTTATCCACGGGCATTTTATGAAGAAGAACCACCTAAAATCCTCATCCACGTGCACTTTATGAAGGAAAACCACCTAGAATCCTTACCCACGTGCATTTTATGAAGGAAAACCACCGGGAATCCTTATTCACATGCATTCTATGACAGACAAACCACCTGAAATCCTTATCCACGTGCATTTTATGAAGGAAAACCCACCTGGAATCCTTATCCACGTGCATTTTATGAAGGAGAACCATCTGGAATCCTTGTCCACGTGCATTTCATGAAGGAAAACCACCTGGAATCCTTATCCACGTGGATTTTATTAAGGAAAACCACCTGGAATCCTTATCCACGTGCATTTCATGAAGGAAAACCACCTGCAATCCTTGTCCACGTGCATTTTATGAAGGAAAGCCACCTGGAATCCGTATCCACGTGCATTTTATGAAGGAAACCCACCTGGAAATCCTCATCCACATGCATTTTATGAAAGAACACCACCTGGAATCCTTATCCACGTGCATTTTATGAAGGAACAGCACCTGGAATCCTTATCCACGTGCATTGTATGAAAGAGAACCACCTGCAATCCTTATCCACGTACATTGTATGAAAGCAAACCACCTGGAATCCTTATCCACGTGCATTTTATGAAGGAAAACCACTTGGAATCCTTATCCACGTGCATTCTATGAAGAAAAAACAGCTGGAATCCTTATCCACCTGCATTTTATGAAGGAAAGCACCTGGAAACCTTATCCACGTGCCTTTTATGAAGGAAAACCACCTGGAATCCTTATCCACGTGCATTTTATGAAGGAAAACCACTTGGAATCCTTATCCACATACACTTTATGAAGGAAAACCACCTGGAATCCTTATCCACGGGCATTTTATGAAGAAGAACCACCTAAAATCCTCATCCACGTGCACTTTATGAAGGAAAACCACCTAGAATCCTTATCCACGTGCATATTACGAAGGAAACCCACCTGGAATCCTTATCCACGTGCATTTTATGAACGAAAACTATCTGGAATCCTTATCCAGGTGCATTTTATGAAGGAAAACCACCTGGAATCCTTATCCAGGTGCCTTCGATGAAGGAAGACCACCTGGAATCCTTATCCACGTGCATCTGACGAAAGAAAAGCACTTGATATCCTTATCCACGTGCATTTTACGTAGGAAAACCAGCTGGAATCCGTATCCACGTGCATTTTATCAAGAAACCCACTTGGAATCCTTATCCACGCGCATTTTAGGAAGGAAAACCACCTGGAATCCTTATCCATGTGCATTTTATGAAGGAAAACCACCTGGAATCCTTATCCACGTGCATTTTACGAAAGAAAACCACCTGGAATCCTTAGTCACGTGCATTTTATGAACGAAAACCACCTGGAATCCTTATCCACGTGCATTTTTATGAAGGAAAGCACCTGGAAACCTTATCCACGTGCCTTTTATGAAGGAAAACCACCTGGAATCCTCATCCCCGCGCATTTCATGAAGGAAAACCACTTGGAATCCTAATCCACGTGCATTTCATCAAGAAACCCACCTGGAATCCTTATCCACGTACGTTTTTATGAAGGAAAACCACCTGGAATCCTTATCCACGTGGATTTTATGAAGGAAAACCACCTGGAATCCTTATCCACGTGCCTTGTATGAAGGAAAACCACCTGGAATCCTTATCCACGTGCATCTGATGAAGGAAAACCATTTGGTATCGTTATCCACGTGCATTTTATGAAGGACAACCACCTGGAATCCTTATCCACGAGCATTTTATGAAGGAACAGCAGCCAGGCGGTGTGCGGACGATCCGCTGCAGCTGATGCCAAGAAAAGCGAAAGCGCTCCTGCACGTCAGCAGCCACCACAGAGCCAAAGCTAGACGGCTCTCAGTATATAGTACTCGCAAGCCCAGACACCGCTGCGACAAGACACATGCCTGCATGCATGCAAGCCCAGGAACAAGCATTGGAATGCCACTCAGCACAAAATCCGTCAAGGCCTGCGCTGCAAACATAGTTACCAAGTCAACAGACCCACATGCAGCCACTCTTCCCTAAACGCACAAGACCTGAAGAGTGGCTCCAGCCACTAACAGTGCTGAGGCAACGTGAAGTCTTCCAGCATTGTGCGTCGCAGCATGTTTTCTGCTCAGAAGACCTACCAATCCAACCAGGCTCCCACAGCCAACAGAGGTGCGTCTAAGGCCGCAAACGAAACGACACTTCGCTCCTGTATCGCGCACGCAGGTCAAACCAGCATGCAGACCCGCGGGAACCGTCGCCGATGGGCCGACATGACGGACGAAGACGACGAGGCAAGATGCCTGGCTCTCCAGACCACACACTCAGAAACACGATACAAGCTCGATTGCCTGTCATCAAGCAAGCCAAGGTGAGCGGCTGGGAGTTCGAAGCCTTCAAAAGGGACTACCTGGCCACGAGGTGCAGTCTAACGCTCCTGACGCCGGTGCCTGCCCGAAAAACTGCAAGCGCTCCTGACGATCCCACGCCCCCCCAGCAAACCTAGGCGGGAAGAATCAAAATCGACGAGGCGCGCCGCGACAGCTGCCGCAGTCACGGCACGTTCCCAAAGAAATGGACAGAGACCCGCTTGCTCGTCAGGCATGGAAGACCTTCCCGACAACAGCACCACCACGGAACACGTCCGCGCGCCCGGGTGCAAAGACAGCAACACGCCGGCGCAAAAAGGCGCCACGAAAAAAGACCATTAAAGCCAATCTGGACCCAAGCGCGCATTGTCATTATAGAAACAGAAGTTACCTTGCCGATCTGCCACATCACAACCTGCAGGCCCCAAAGCCGGCATTACAGCAGCCAAAATGGACAGCCGAAGACGACGAAGCCCTGGAACGCGCGTTCCGTCGGACACAGGCAACCACCGCACATAAGAAGCACAAGCCGCATGCGTAAAGAGTAGCGAAAACAATAAATGCCCAGCAAGCTGCAGGACGAAAGAACAACGGCCGCCGCTGCCGCACGGCGAAACGACACAGACACGCTGGAAGCAGGAGCCGCTCAACAGCGCCACGCCGAACCACCGCTCCGACGAGGAGGCGCCAAGTGGAATTCCGACGAACAGCCGGAGCCGGGCCCCAGCATCCAGGCAAGCCAATCTCCTTCAGGTATCCTCGCCAAGAAACTTGCTTACACAAGCTAGCCAAAGCAAACCAAACGCACCCGACGAGCCCGATGCCCTGCAGGAACACTTCCACGGAATGTTGACCTTGAAGAAGATGACGGGCGACGGCAACTGCCTGTTCCACGCACTTGCACACGGAAGCGAGGAAAACGGGGTGCACTTGCGAGCCCTCATCATCCAATACCTCGAGGACAACGCGGCCTCCCAAGAAAACGAGGAACAAGTGGAAGCCTGGTACCAGGAGGCCGAGTACCTCCAAAGCAATGCCAGTCACTGGGGCGGCGACACGGCCATCATCGCCTTCACCCTGATGCGACAACAGCGCGTAATCCTGCACTGGCGAACAGACGACGGTCACATCCAGACAAGCGAGCGCACGCACACCGAAGTGCAGGACACGGCAGAGCGATTCCGCCACGCAGGACAAGACAACGCGGAAATCATACATCTCTGGTACAACGGAAGAGACCACTACGACCTGCTCGTGCCCAGCCAAGAGCAGCCGCCTGCTCCAGCCCCACGGGCAGCCAACCAGCCCCAACCGACCCACGACGAGGCAAGTCCACCGCCGCCGCCGCCTCCGCCGCCGCCGCCCCACCCGGAGCCCCGCCCGCCCAAGCGCCGCAAGACCGCAGCCAGCAGAGCCCAGAGCAAGCAGCAAGCCCCGGCGCAGGGAGCAGAAGAAACTTCCGAAGCAGCGCCTGCTCCCCCAGTGGAAGACGGGCCCACCCTCCTCGAAGAGCTCACCAGCATGCCCGTCGCCGCGAAGGCCACCCATCCCAGACGAAAGCTAGAAGACGCGCTCACGCGCTTCGCAAACACGCACCTGCGAGCCCAGCCACTCATACCGCCCGAAGCCAAAGCCGAGAACGTGGACAGCGGCGAGGCCTGGCCGCAGGTCTTCTGCGCATTCCGCGGGTGCACATGGTCGTTACCTTCGGGAACCGAAAAACGGCTCCACCAGCACGTCAAGGACGCTCACGCGCCGGAGCTGGGGTTGGTGGCTCAGCACCTGCCCAGGCCCATGCCAGCCGACGCACTCACCAGCGTCTACAACGAGGCCATCGCGCTGCGATGCAGGGAGGCCGCACCCGTCGCGGGAAGCTCGCGGGACAGAAGCGCGCTGCGCAGCTTCGCCGAGGCCACCAGCAAAGACAACGTGGAATCGCTCATTTGCTTCAGCTGCGCCTGCATCCACCCACGCGTGGCCGACACGGCGGCCAGCGGCCGCATCGACTGGCACAGACTCATCCAGAGTCCGGCCTCCAACGACGGCAGCCACGCGGAGAGCACGGAGAGCCTGCATGAGCTGCTGAGCATGGACAGGTACCTCGAGCGCTACGACGACCTCGCCGGCGACGTGAAGCTCAGGGACGTGGCCAACTTCGACGACTGGACGGTAACCATCCCCGGGTTCGGGGACATCCTGTGCTGCCCCGAGGACCATCGCTGCCAGGCCTGCCCCCAGCACCCGAGACAGCACACCCTCTGCGAGCACTGCGAAGTGCCCCTCTGCAGCGACTGCGCAGGGCACCTGCAAAGAGGCGAGCTGCCGCCCCTGAGCCTGTGCAACGACATGTGGACCGGATACTCACCGGCACGCCTGCACGCGGAGAAGGTCACCGTCATGGAGATGATCTGCGCGAGTCCCTGCATTACGACGCTGATCTGCATGGCCATGGAAGCACGGCACCGCAGCGAGGGAACCACCCTCGACGAAAAGGCCCAGTGCGCCAACCACCGCCTCGGAGCCCGGGGCAACGCCCTCACCTTCCCACTGCCATGGGAGGCGGTGCTGCAAAACCTCCAAGCACACGACGCAGAAGTCGCGGAAGCACAGAAGGCGGCCGCGGCCAGCGCGGAAGCGCCCGCGCCCAACTTTCCCCGCTCGGGAAAAGCTCTCGGCGACGTGGTGAGGATCCTCCTGAAAACGAACAGAACGGGCAAAACCAGCGAGTCCGAAATCAAGACCCTGCTCCACCAGGCGACGGTGAGAAGGGAAGTGGTCGTCAACCTCATCCTCGACATGCAGCAGCTAGGCCATCCCGCATTCCAGCACCTGCGACAAGCCGCCGTCCGCGAGGCCGCGGCCCAGCTGCCGGAGGCCGGCGTGCCGCCGGAGGTGCTGAAGGTCATCCACGGCATGAGCGAAGAGGACGAGACCAGCCACAAGCTGCAGCCGCAGAAAGCGGCCGCCCCCACGGACGCCCCGGAGCAAGACGTGCAGCACGCGGGCGCCATCTTCGCCAACCAGCGCGCCCGCGCCGTCCTTCCAGAAGGCTGCAACCAAGACCGAGAAGACCAGAACGCCGTCGCCACGGCCGCCCTGAACGACCTCGCGGACCAGCTCCGCAGCAAGCAAGAGAACGAGAAGATCCTCGAAACCTACGAGGTGCGCACCAGCAACATGCTCGTGGACCAGTTCCAGCCGCTCTACTTCGCCACGGCCTTCAGCTTCTGCTTCGCGCACGGGACCGCCTGTCCCGACGTCCAAAACAGCCAGGCCAGCAACAGCCGGCAGCAGCGAGGACGACGCCACCGCAGGAACCCCCAAGCCCCCAAGGTAGAGATTCACGCGTGGGCGGCGGCCATGCAACGGCGAGCCGAGACCCAGTTCCGGCGCGACTGGACCTTCGGCTTCACCCTGTGGAACTACCTCTTCAGAACCATGGTCAACGTGCAAAAGAACACCTTCATGTACTGCATCCCCGACGAGAACAGCGGACGCAGAGCCCTGAGCGGCCAGGAGATCATGGACGGCGGAAAGCAGATCCTCGACGACCTGGTCAAAGGGCAGTACCTCGACGTCAACAACCAGGTGAAGGCCGTCAACGGAGACTTGAGCAAGGTACGCTTCGCCACCACAATAACACCGGCAGCCGTCAAGGCAGAGGGAAAAACAAAAGAACCTGCTCCCATCAGAAGGCCAGAACAAACAGAAGAAAGCACGCATCGGGCTCCCAACTTGTTGGCCAACGACACCAAACGAAGCTACCGCTGAATAGTAGCACCAGATAACATCACAAGAAACACACGCTCGACAACCGCCACCCAAACAAGCAATTCTGCAGCAACCAACGACCAGAACAAAAAAAAACTCCATAGCTTCCATCGGAACCCAGCCGCGCTCGCCTGCATCAGTTCTAACACAACCGCGACAGGTCTTGGACAACACCGCGGCGCGCAGCCGCAACACTCCCGGGACGCACGAAGTGCGAAAGACGATGCGCCACCAAACCCACGCCAATCGCATCTGCCACGGCACGCCGCTCTTCGTGACCTTCTCCCCGTCCGAGCGAGACAACACGGTGATGCTGCGCCTGGCCCGCGCCAGGCAATCCGACCCCAGCCTCAGCCAGGAGTCCGCCACTAACCGTGCCGCACAGAGTCGCGGCAAGCCCGAGCTCGACGTGGAGTTTTACAGCCTGAACCCGGAAACACTCGCCGCGGAGCTGCCGCCCTACGACGATCGGCGAGCCATACTGACCAAAGACCCCGTGGCCTGCTCGGACGGCTTCCGCATCCTGGTGCAGCTGGCGCTCCGGCATTTGTTCGGCGTCCGCTACTGCCCGAAGTGCCCCGACTGCGGGAATTCCAAGAATCCCTGCACAGACGCATTCGGCAGCAACGCCATGGCGTGCGGGGGGATCTTCGGCAGGCTCGACGCCGTCTTCGGCTCCATCGAGAGCCAGAAGTCCGGAGTGCTGCACATCCACTTCCAGGCCCGCTCGTAAGAAACCACCAGACCAACACACCACGCACACACAGACACAATAAAGACAAGACACACAAACCACACGAAAGAGCTATAGTAGACTAGAGACACACGCAAGCACCAAAAAGACTCGGTGCCGTAACCACCGCCACATGTGCTTGCCCCGCCCGCAGCTCTTCCTCCAGTGCTTCCACCAGTTCAAGCCCCTCTCGGAGCTGCACGCCCTGGGCCCGCAGCGCAAAATGGACCTCTTCCAGAAGTACTGCACCTACACCGCCCACGTCAGCCGCACCATTTACCTGGACCCGCAAGAATGGGAAAAGAAGCACCAGGACACGGAAGACAAGTGGCCCGCCTACCGCGACTCCTTCCTGGCCCTCAGCCGGCCGGACTACCAGAGGGCAGACGCGTCCACGGACGGCACCACCTGGCGGCGGCTCTTCCTGGACGAGGACGTGGAAGCCCTGCAACAGCTGAAGCAGCATCACGTGCACCTGCCCAAGAAGACGGGCGGCCCACGCCTGCCCCTGGATCACTGCCGCGACAAGAAGGACCCCACCAAGTGCAAGGCAGGCTTCCCGCACGAGATGCAGCTGGTCGACAGGACGACGCTGGTGTGCAAGGGACTGGCAGAGGAGATGAGCATGCCCGTGAAAGGCAAGCGCAGCGCCCTCGGTCGCCTCTGGGGACCCTGCAACGACCCGAACCTCAACGGCACCCACCCCGCCTTGCTGGCCGCCCTCCGCTGCAACGGCGACGTACAGCTGCCCTATCGCTTCCCGATCACGGAGGACCTCCACGCCGCGTGCGGCCGCTGCGACAAGGACTGCCCCGCCCAAGACAGCCTGCGCGAAATGACCCAGCAGGCCCAGGTGAACCAGGCCGCGCAGGCGGGCTACGCCTGCGACTACGGCAACAAGCGCAATCCCATCGCCGTCAACGAAGTCCAGGAGTGGAAGAAAGGCCAGAAAGAACTGCAGGCGGAGCTGCAGAACAACCCCTCCAGCGGCTACGTGGGCGCCCGAGTCTCGAAGCGCCTCATGACCGACGTCTTCGCCCGCGGCGTCGTCCGCGGCTCCGTGGAATGCGCGAACCTCATCGACAACGCCGGCCGCGACGACCCCACGGCGGCGGAGGCCATCAAGACCGCCCAAGTCGCCGAGATGTCCCTGCAACACGGAGTACAGCTCTTGCAAGCGGCCATCGAAGGCCGGCCGTGGCAGCCGGAACGAGAAAAGCTCGAGAGCGACCTCAGCAGGGACTTCGACGCTCCAGACAAGAGGAAGGCGGTCGCCCACCCCCAACTGTGGACCATCTACGGAAACCGCGGAACAGACCCGCGAGTCCAACCTCTCTCGGCCTTTGAGTTCGTGCGGCACTACCACACCCGCCCAGCCAGATACCCGTGGAAGCTGGAGATGCAGGAACGTGCCACGACCGCGTTGGCTGGCGGGCAAAAAGACATCCCTTACCACGCCCTGCTGACGGACAGCGGCAAGGACAAGCTGAGACGAAAGAAAGGTCGCAGCGCGCTGCAGGGCGGCATCGACTACCTGATCCGGGAGGAGGGCGGCGAGGACTGGATGCCGCTGGGCAACGGCAGCTTGACCCAGACGCATCGTCACCAGTGGGTGATCAGTCCACGGAAAAGACCGCACGTGCCCGTGCTCTACGGCGCACTGGGCAGCCGCAGCGAGGAAGAGCACATCGTGAAGATCCTCGTGCTGTTCTGCCCCTGGACCAGCAACCCGCAGGACGCCACGGAGACGGTGCCCTACATCGGCCAGCTTCGCACGCCGGAAATGAGCACCTGGCGCCAGGCCCTCCGCTGCGCCTGGAGGCACGGCGACGGCTTCCCCACGGAGGAGCTGAAGCGCTACGTCCTGAACTACGCCTTCGTGTACTGCCTGCCCCGGTCCCTGCAGCCCGACCAGGACCTGGCCGCAAACAGCGACAACGAGGACCTGAGGGACGAGGTCTGCCACTTCGACGAGAAAGAGCTGGAGCAGGCCGCCAAGACGCGAGTGCGGGGAGCCGGCCAACAAACCGCGGCGGCCGCAGAAGAAGAAGATCCGCCCGACGAAGCGGAGCCGCCCGCCACCAGCACCCAGCATGACCTGACCGTCCAGATGATGAGCATCTCCGAGAACTTCTGGCTGGGCGCAGCGTCCGCGGCCAGCGAAGTTCCGCGAGAGACGGCTCGACGCCTCCTCCAAGAAACGACCGCAGGCGAAGGCATCGGCGACGCCAGCCAGATGCTGGTCGCCGCCCGCGCCTCCCGCAACAAGAGGGCGGCGGACGCAGAGGCGGACAAGTCGGGCCTGGACGGCAGCCGCCGAAAAGGCACCGCCAAGCACCACCGGGCCGTGAGCAACACGCAGCTGCGAGCCTGGCTCGAGAGCGGAGAGGTGCGGAACGACCTCAACGAAGAGCAGCACGACTTCCTGAAACTGGTGGTGGAGCGCGTGCTCGTCGAGTACAACCTCGAGCGGGCGCACGCCACCGTCCGACGCAGCCAGGAGCCGATGATCTGGCTGCTGCACGGCCGCCCCGGCACGGGCAAAACCCACGTGCTCAAGTACGTGCGCAAGCTCTTCGAGGACTTCCTGGGCTTCGTGCAGGGCATC